CAATGTCGCTTTCCGATCAGGAAAAGTGCACGCGCTTGGAGATATCGTAGTACTAGACGTTAATACGTACGACGTTCTTTTCGGACTTCCCGCTCTTGTGGCTCTACGAGCAAACTTGGACTTCGAACGAAGGTCAATCATCCTGCGAAATACAGGAGGAAAACCCTACGTTGTGCCTATGCGATTGACCCTTCGTACTACCATTAACACGGTCCCACGGGTTTCGCCGCTGATGGCAGGGACCCTCCGCATGATCTCCTAGGATGAGTCCGCCGATGAAAAGTCATCGATGAAGGATGAGGGCAGCAACGATGAGGATGATCCAGAGATCTTGGAATTAGCACGGCAGCGTGTTTACTACCCGCCGCCCAAAACGATAGCGAGAACGATGCAACGGACCAGCCGAAAAATTTAGAGGACCAAGGCGATGATCTTGGGCGAGCCCCTCGTGCAGATTTCGAGGATGGCCGATTCTTTGGAACCCCCTCAGACTCTGTACGAAGGAATCACCCCTCTCCTCGCCCGGTATAACGACAAGAGGCATTACTGTGACATTACAGATCTACCCAAATCCTTATTGACATCGGCTAAGGAAGTGAGGTTGTTACGATTGGGGGCGGAAGCAAGTTCTCTAGAACCCGCTGGGCGTCTCGAAGCCGCAACAGACGAACTGGGGATAAAGATCGTAACTAAGAACGTACCATGGCAGGATATTTGCGATGGGGTTACCCCGGAAGGACACGTGGCAATCCGGGAAGAAGATGCCCAGATGATGGCCACGGTGTTCTCTTGGCAATTGGACCATTCGTTCATCTCGGCGCCTCCACCCGATGTGGCAAAACAGGCGCGCATGAAACAGATTGACGTTCGGATCAGGAACCAACTATTCGAGCTACGCGTTCCACAGTACGTACCGAATGAAATCCACCAGGTGATTGCGGAAATTCTAACAGAATATCAAGGAGCGATTAGTGTGACAGACACTGACATCGACTTATCGTTAGTAATCCAACATGAGATTCAGACAGGAAATCACTCCCCGATTCATTGCAAACCTTACCAGTATTCGTTGATTGAACGCAAAAAGGCTCTCGAACGAATTCGGGAGTTCGAAGCCAGCGGCTGGATTGAACTCGCTACCGGACCTTCGTCATTTCCCGTAGTATTAGTACCCAAGAAAAACGGAGCGATTCGCATTTGCATTGATTATCGCAAGCTGAATGAGATCACGATCAAAGATGTGTATCCCCTCCCCCGGATTGATGATTTGTTGGATGCGATTGGACGTGCCAATTATTTCAGCAAGTTTGATATTCGACATGGTTTTCATCACATTCTGGTTAAAGAGGAAGATCGACCGAAAACGGCCTTTGTGTTGTTTGAAGGCACGTGGCAGTGGGTTCGCTGTCCGATGGGGATTTGCAACGCGCCGGCCACATTTCAGCGAGCGATGAACATGACGTTCCAGAATTTCGTCAACAAGACACGGTTGAGGCAAGGGATGATTAACTTTTGTGTGATCGTGTACATGGACGATATCCTGGTCTATTCGGAAACCTATCACGGGCACGCGCAGCATATCGAATGGATGTTGGGCGCATTGAGAGACGCTGGCACGTGGAGGACTACGGCCGGACTCAAGAAAGCTTGCGGCGGTGAAAGAAGCCCCGGTTCCCACGTCGCTGACGCAGGTTCGAGCTTTCTTGGGGTTAGCATCGTACTACCGGCGCTTCATCAAGGGCTTTGCCGCGATTGCACGGCCATTAACGAATTTGTTAAGGAAGGACCAGCCTCTCAGCTGGGAAGCAGAGTGCCAATAGGCTTTCGCAACCCTCAAGGACGCTCTGGCGACGGCCCCTATTTTGATTTGGCCGGACCCCTCGAAACAGTTCATTCTCATCACGGACTGGCAACCGGAAGCTATCTCCGCTATTTTAGCGCAGAAGGGGATCGATGGTCGTGAACACGTCATCGAATCCGCGTCACGCATGGTACCGGACGAGCGGAGGAATGACTCGGCACCTCAAGGCGAATGCTATGCAGTGGTCTGGGGAATCCAACACTTCCATCCGTATCTCTACGGACAGAAGTTTCGCCTCGTGACGGATCACGAGCCTCTGCTAGCTTTGAAGAAGCTCACCAACTATACGGGCATGATTGGCCGTTGGGCGGTGCGATTGCAAGAATACGCTTCGATATCGTCCATGGAAAGACGGAGCGACACGGCAACGCGGACGGGATGACACGTCTGCATCGACCTGCCAAGGTACCAAAGGGCGAGGAAATTACACCGTGGAAAGAGTCCGACCTGACCAACGAGCCTAAGTACGGACAAGTGGCAGTTCTCCCACGTGGCAAGAAGTAAAACGGTGGCGATGGGTGACGGAGGTAACCCCACTACCCCTCTCTCTCCCCTTTCCTCCTCGTCTCTCCTCTCCCTGCCTGACAAATTTTGCTATTTTTGCGAAGCTATCTCCCGCGTGTACTCGGTCTCCATGCGTCCTAACGGGGAAGGGTATGTTGATTGGATAGATTGCCGACAGTGTGTCGCACGAGCCCATGGCTCGTACGTCCAATACAGAAACGATAGTAAACCATGGTTGTGCCCCTTGTGCCGGACCGACAAGATTCCGACCGAGGCTCGCTTTTTGGATGCCACGTCAGAAGGGTTGGAAAAGACCCGGAAGTTTAGAAGGGCCGAAGTATGGACTGATATTGCCTTGATTGCCACCTTGGTTGGCAACCCCCTCCAGGATTTCACCAAGGAAGATCGGAGGAGGGCCAACGAGAGGGCTC